GACACCCAGATGGCAGTAAACAATAATTCAAAAGCTCAACAAGACTACAACAATCAGCAAAATATCAAATTTTATTAAAGTCCCCAGAGGGGTTGATCCGAATACATAGCCATGGGTGTTCAACACCCAAAGTAAGAGACTTGAGTTGAATGCCCTACAGTCGGCTCGACCTCATTTCCTTTGCTCGTCGAAGCCTCCATCGCCGAGTCATCCTAAGGAAGAGACTCAATTGACTCAGTAAGCAACCCTTCCAAGTCTCCAGCAAAGTCGTCCATTGCATCCTTGCACTCAGTCTTAACTTGACCTTTCTCCATTCCATTGCCCCCATTAGCCGACTCTACTTCAATCTTTTCCCACAATTCAATATCCTCGTTGGGATTTTAGTGGGAAGTGTTGCTCGCTTTGTACTCTTTTATTAGTTTAGTGTCGGCCTTGATCATGGCGTCGGTGGCAATTGATTGGCATCGCTCTCTAAGAGCGACCGACTCCTCCTCCTTTTTAGCAAGCGTCTCATCCCTTTTGGCCAACGCCTTTTACTTCTCCACCAACGTTTTGTTCAGCTCTACCAACTCTAATTCAGCTTGTCGTAGCTTGGCAACACCCTCCTTCGATAATTTCAAGGTCGAAGCCTCTCGAGTGCGAAGGCCCATGTTGGACTTGGTCAAGTCTTGGATCTTTGCGTCTTGGGCAACGACGACCTTCTTCAGATATAGACTCCCTGTCAGAGCCTGCAAAAAACCGAACAGTTAGAAGTAGTTCTTTATGGAACAAAGCGTTCGAAGATAAAAATTACTTAAAACTGCCAAGCCACAGCCCATTCAGCAACTGCACTCATTCCCATTTGATCCAACCGATTCTCATCCATGGGTAGCATGAAAGAGTCGGCTAGCTTCCCTATCCCAGTTGCATTAGAGTAGATAGAAGCAGTCATCGGAAATGTGACAACCATCTTCTCAGCATCCTCGTCGATTTGGACACTCTTCGACAACCTAGCTCCGGTCTTAGGTGGTGCAGTATGTGGGATTGACTCAGTTCATTCCATCTGGACATTTTCACTCGACCTAGCTGCCAACTTTCTTTTTCTCTTAGCTCGGCATTGGGTGATCGCCTCGCTCGCATTTGGCATGTCAACGTTAATATTCTTCATCAATCTCTCTACAAGGCAAACTCTCCAGGAGTTAGAGGATGAAGAAATGAATGTCTGAAGCAGATGTGATTGTAGTAGTGCGTCAACAAAACGTTCCATGTCTGCTTCAGCAAAGGGAAAAGTGTACCTCTCTGTAGTGCAGCAACCTTGCTCCAAAGATGACTCACCCTAAGGTTCGCCTCTTGCAAGAGCACTCTCCAATCTCTCAGTTTCAATGGTATAGCAAGTAATTCTCGTGTTTGCATGTCCAAATTGTCACCACTCTGCCTAGCCTTGTTGAACCTCGGATTTGTAGAATAATGAAAGATAAGGCTCAATACTCAAAACAAAAGACAAGTAAAAGTTACTAACCAGCCGCCCTCTATGTAAAGGGTATGTCGCCCTGCCCTCTCTCTCCAAAGACTGCACCACCCTTCACGAAGAAGAACTTCCCATTCCAGTTCTTATCACTCAATCGTAGGAACGTCACCAGGTGGATTCGGTCATGCCTTAGGGTGACTGAGAATCTACCCTTATCGGTGTCATGCTCCTTCAAATAATAAAAATAGAGGAACTCATGTAGGTCAAACCCCACTTGGTGCATAGTGTAGAGAAGCTTCAATGCTATCAACAACCTCTAACCATTTGGCATGAACTGAGTCGGGGCTATCATGAAGTGGTTCAATACTTCCCAAACCAAGTGAGGAATTAGCAACCTAAGCGCATCATAGAAGTAGATATCATGCATAGCGATCCATCTTGGTACCTCCCAATTGACCCGCTCATGATCTCTCGGTAGACGTGTCTCGACCGAGTTAGGGATATGGTACATTGTCCTTATCCTCCATTCCTCATTCAGAGTGAGCTCTGGGGGATATTCCAATGGCAAGATCCCTCGACTCGGCCAGTTGAATCTATCCCTCGTAGTCCCACTTATAGAAGGCTCGCCCTTGTTTGGCTCTTCATCGCTATCGTCCCCACTCTCCCCTTGCCCGTTAGAGTCCTTGCCACTCGACTCGACAACAGTCGGATCAGTCCTAGCTAAACTTAACCCTTTAGGGATTCCCACAGGCACGGTACCTGCCTCCGGCAACACCACCATAGTGGGGACATTCTCATACTATCCTCCCCTCTCCATCTCACCCTGACTATCCCCACTCGACTCAGTATCCGACATTGTGTGTTCAAATGTTGTACTCTCTAACACTACAATCAGCTTGGTCTGGCAGACCGACTGGATGGTTGAATGAATCTGCAAGCAACCTCAGAGGTTATCACTCGACTCGGACAAGCGCCCCAGGCATGCCGAATGGTGATAGTGAATGAATCGACTCTTCCTTCTCCCACAAACCAAACTCAAAATTTCCAGAAATTTTCCCAACAGTGCCTATGCTCCTAAATCCAAATCCTTCAAAGCTTTTTCTCCCAAAATTTCAAAACACTTACCAAAATCGTCCCAAAAAATTGAGTCTATCCTCAAAATTTAGCCAGATCTAAAGATATCACCTCAAACCTCTGGGAATTCCACAAAATTCCAAAGAAACCAAAAAGGAAAAATCGGTACTTCAAACCACCCAAAGAAAAACGATCCTAAAACGTGTTTAAACTGCTTGGAAAACTAAGGGAAAGTAGAGGCAATGAAAAGAAATCGATTTTTGTGAAGGAAAAGAGATTTATTGTGACAAAACACAAAAAACTCTTGAAAAAGCTTCGACAGCGATCAAAGAAATCTTTGAAAGAAATAGGGAACGAAGATGAACAGTCGCCAATGGGTTTCTTCTCCTTTTAATCACTCAACTTGCCAGGACAACACGCAGCAACAACCAATTGGCTACGATTCTTCAATTTCCCACTTAAAAAAAAAAAGAGGAAATCCTAATCGTACATGTGTCATACGATAGGACCACCTCAGTAACCCCAATTTCTCGTCTCCCGCTCAAAATACACGAAACCCTACTATACACACGTCCCGTTCTCCTGATGCCACCCCATTGCACTTGGACAAAGCTCGACTTGCCTGAGCAAATTGACTTGCTCCCAATTTGAGAAACAAACAAGACTCTTCAAAGTACAAAATGCAGATGCTCGGCCTGATTGGCCAATTGAACTCCATAAAGGGTAGCGCCACATACCCTATCATTCGATTCAACCGACCAAGCAAACTTAGTTTTAAGGGTCGCTTCTTACACCCAATCACTCAGCTTAGTCAACCAAGTGGACGCAGCTACAAGGATTGCCCATTGCATCCTAGCACTCGGCTTGACCAAATGAATGAACTCAACTGCACAAAGTTGTGAAAGTATAACCAACAACCTCCTTGTAGCTTCTACCGAGACGAGATGTCCTTGTTCAGTTGAAGAGAATATTCGACCATCCCGACAGATCGCCTCTTAGCTAGGTTAGTCTCTCATTAGTTTAGCTACCCTCCAAGCTAAATACTCTTTAGCTTAGAGAGTGGGGGGCTAATTATAGGGGTCAAAATCACCTGGGCCCTTATCAGGCCCAGACAGGCTTGTTCCACTACGGTGGCCCAAGCTTATGATCCAATTTCCGTTGGGCCAGCATCACAACTCATGACTTGGGCTGAGCCTTCTTCTAGAATGGGCGACTCCAACGACCCAACTAAGGCTAGGCCTTCTAGACCAAGGTAAGTAACACTTTTCCTGTTTCAATTTATTCTAATTCACCCAAGATTCTGTATCTTAGGTAAATTAGGACTCCTGTTACTATTAAGTCAAGTGAATCATGATCTTTCTTATTCACAAGACTCTTCCCTTAAGGATTTAGAGTCCTATCGGGATACAAAGATCCTACAACTACTATATAAACAAAGGTCACTCCTATGTTTAGTCATTCAACCTCAATATCACCTCCCAACACCCAAGCTCTTAATCCTAAGAGCTATCCTACTACGACGTGGTTCTAGTCTCCAACTTAACCTCTGGTAACCCTTCTTTCCCTTACCCTCACTAAATTGCCTCATTCAACCTTATTGACTTGAGTGTTAGAGTGCCTGCGGTAGATACCACACCGGTTTACTTGTTTGCTTTATATGCCGATACAGTGGATTGTCAGTGGCCTCAACCACACAGGATCAGACCCTATTTCTGCAACCGTAGATTTTAGCATCTACAAAACTTGCCCAACATCTTCACCTTTTATCTGTTAACTTTAATAAATTAAATTAACAAAATAAAGGTTATATTCTTATTTTTAAAATCTGCGAGAATTCATTAAAAATTCACTAAACATATAACGGTTTAAATTATCATTGGATAACCTGATGGTAAAAGAACAAAAAGAGGTTTCATGAACTTCTGAGTTTAAGTTCTCCCAGACACTAATAGGGGTGACCACTGAGGCTTTTACTCAGTCGGCAGTTCCAACGCCCTAAGAGATTATTTGAGCTACATACAAGTTGACCCGACATCCTTGATAATAAAAAAAAAAAAAAAACATATAAGGATTTATTATGATTACCCTAATATTTATATAATTAAAGCACAATAAATCAATGCTTAAATAGAAAATACAACATTAAGAATTCTTTTAACGTTAATCATTCATAAAATCTTAATAGTGTTTATATGTTCAAATAATGTATATGTCATCTTATTTATATGCTCGATGAGTAAAATTATTTATATTTAATAAACTATTTTTTACACCTAATTTTTAAGTTTGTAAATTATATATATATTTTTTTATAGATAGATTTTAAACTTCACATATCTTGTATTCTAACATATAGGAGAAGAGGGTAGATTAATGTTTTGAATTATCAGTGTAATAAAAACGACAAATTTTTTTGTGAAGCGTTTAATATATTAAAGATCCCTCTAACTTTATTCACACCCTCAAAGTCTAAATAAGTTCATTTTAACCCAAACCCCAATCTTGGAACCCGCTAAACCCTCCTAGTTGAGTTCATCAATACGCAAAGACTATTCTCTTTTGGAAGATGACCGTTATCAGTACCTCTCACAATCCCCTTCACAATCTTCACCCGCCGCCGGCGCCGCTCTCTTCTTCCTTTTCCCGGCAAACATACTTTCCCTGCCGCCGGCGCCGCCTCCGGCTCAAAATCTCCACAGGCAACCCTATTCTCTCTTTTGTTAAACAAGACTAAAATTTTATAATCACTAACCAATGTGTCTGTTTGTTTGTTTGTTTGCTTTTTCCAGGTTCTCACCGCTTTATTGGAGTAAAATCACAACTGTCTGCTTGGGATGAGAAACCATATGAGATTCTCCCAGGTGGGAAAATAAATTACTTGGATGAAGAAGATGTAGTTTCATTTCTTGATCCTCCAAAGGAGTTGATTCCTCTCGACCCGGCTTCGTATAATCCAGCTGCTTATCTTTGGTTAGTATTAATGAATTTAGTACCCAAAACTCTTTCAAGTGAATCGTATTTAGTACTTTAATTTCATCCGTACTTGATGATATAGAATCAATGTGTTATGATTTCGGCGACGTGAGACGTGCATACATTTGTTAAAACATTGTATGATTTGGCTTGTATAATGATTATGCATAGTGAAGAAATTATAAGCTTATATTGATTCCTCTCGACCTGGCTTCATATAATCCAGCTGCTTATCTTTGGTTAGTATTAATGATTTAGTACTCAGACCTCTTTCAAATGAATAGTATTTAGGGCTTTAATTTCATACGTACTTGATGATGTAAAATCCTTTCATACATTGGTTGAAACATTGTATGATTTGGCTTGCATAGTGATTATGGATATTGAAGAAATTATAAGCTTCTATTAAAGTGGACATATTGATAAATGATGACATTTAAATGACTAATGCATTGTAGAAAGGATTGCTTTATAAGATTACCTGTGTGCTAGTTCATATCTAAATTTGGGAATGAGTTGTAATGGGATTTTAGTGTTTATAATTGTTTGCCGGATCTGGTGTACTTCTGGTTCCTGATTGACATAGTACCATGTGTTAATGACTCTGAAATCATGTAATGAAAGAGAATTTCCAGCTTCTGGATCTTTTATTTGTTTTAATATGCAAATAATTTTTTTTTTTTTCCTTGTAATGTTTTCTTCCTAAACTATATGCATATATTATTTATTTATTTTACTTTCCCATTAAAGTTTTTATTTTTTTTAATTATTATTATTATTAGGAAAAAAATTGAAGACATACCAGAAGAAAGGCGTCAGCGATTGCTGCAGTTGCTAAAACCAAGGTCATCCCACTGAAGCATTCCAAATCATTAATGCAGAAACATTATGATTAGGGCTGTACCTCTCTCATATCTTGGTTGATGTTTCCAGCTAATTTTTATGAGCATTTTAACCTGTGCATCATGAATTAGGCTATATAAATCATATTTGATACTAAATATCTTTCTATTTGGTCTTGATGCAAATCTTTGATATGCTAGTAGAAATGTATTGCAGGCTTATTTCAAGAGCTTGGGAGATATCTGGCACAAGATATGATGATCCTAAGTTAGCAAAGAAAAGTGCTTCAAACTTGCTATCTAATGATGATAGTGAAATGCCACTTGAGTTTTACAACTGCCGAAGTAGTGGAGGTAGATTCATTGCTCCACTTAAAACAGTAAACCTAAAACATAAAATTAGAATCAACCAAGTCATTTACAACATAAAATTCTGTTAAATCTAATTCTCAAATGATAATGACAAATGAAATTATAATCCTAATTAAACAATAAAACATTGAAATAAAAGATTCCTAAATAAAATAGAATTCTAGAAATAATAATCCTTAAACTAATCATATTTCTGCTACGTCAATTATACATGGTGGTTATACAAAATTTGAGTACAGGAAATACAGTCTTTGTCTTTGGAACTCCTCAACTGATCTTAGATTCGCAATGATTACAATTTTCTAAATTGTAAAGTATCCTTAATGTTGAAGATTCCTATGAAAATATTTACATTGTTGTGGATGAAAAAGTGCTGCTTTTGTGGATGTAAAAGAAAGAAATATGCAATGTAATAATAGAAACTGCTATTTGGAGCTGCTTTTGGTGGACTTCTTGTCCCTTTTCTTTTTTTCTTTCCTCTTTCCTTAATTCTTCCAAGGTTTTCCTCTAGTCATGTGCATCTAGGTAGCATTTTACTATCATGATTTCTTCTGCCTTTGCCTTCCTGTTTATTTTCTAGTTTTCATTCCCTTGCCCCATTTACTTAGTTTTATTGTAGTTTTGTTGGTACTATTTTCCAAACATTTTGTAATCTTGATATTAAAACTTTTAACTAGGTCCATGGCCTATTGCTTGGCTCAATTTCTTTAAGAAGGTTCGTTCCAAGTCTTGTGTATTAAAGCCATGGTCGCCTTTCCTTTTCCTTCATTTTTTTTATGCTGATCTTTCGCTGCAGTATGTTATATGATAATTGATGTCAGATTCATTGATTCCCCTCCCAGGCTATATTCTACTGCAATGATGGGAACACATATGGGCGATTTATCGGTAAGGATGTTAGCCTCCAATTGATATACCTGCATTCTTCAATATGTCAGATCATTTTAGAAATCTATCATCCTTCATGAACACATGATTATGGAATATAGCTCACAGGTCTTTGTAGGTTTTATCCTCTCATAAGCTTACCTCAATTCTTATCTAGGTGGTGAATATGATGAATAATTTGTTTTGACATTGAATGCTCAAAATTGTGTTCTAAGACAATATAATGGTGCTTTATATTAATTAAAATATTAATATCCAAGGGTTAAAGATGGGTAGAGTATTGAACTATAGCCCAGTAAATATCCACCTTAATGAGATTAGCAGCCTACAGTTCCAAATTCAATATATTCTAACACTAAAAGAAAGCAAGTTCAGTATCACCACTTTTCTAATGCACCAACTGGCTCCACACACCTAAAGTCACAAACTTACAAGATATTGATAAAGTCCAAACAATATGTGAACTGGATTATTGCAAATTTCCTTAATAAACATATCTTTAGGATTATCAATAATTGCAATATCTAGGAGTATCTCTTCATCATCAATTTTTTACTGGAGGTGAAACTAGATTGTACTAGCTGTTTTACTTAGTTGGACCTCCTGTGTTTGTACAAGAGGTCTTGGGTTTAAGTTTCACCAACACTAGAGTAGAAGAAATGTCTTTTGAAATGAGAGAGAAAAATAGTTGATAAAAACAGTTTGTCATTTAATTTTGACGCAGGAGGTCAACAGTAAAGGCTTGTAGCCTCTTTTATTATTTGTTGTATGATTTTTTTTATGGTTTTAAAAAAGTTAATGTATGTAAACCCTTGGACTGATAATGGATGTCTGGATTTAATGCTATCGATTGTGGTTGTAACTTAGTTTATCCCTACTCGTGGAGTTTTGTAACACCAATTATATTGAGGTTCTAGATCAATACATGTGATAAATGAGATAAAATGAGAATTGAGAACCTAGGGTTATTAAGGCTTGTTTGATATAGAATTTAGATATAGTTTTTTATTTCCAAAACAGGTTATATAAAATTTTTATGAATATGTGTTTGATTGAAACAAGTTTAACTGTTTTGAAAAAAAGTTTTCGGATACAATCCTAAAACTAGTGTATAATCAGAACACAAAGTGAAGTCATTTTTCAATTTCTACTCTTTTTAACTCCGAATACAATTTTAAAGTATCATATCTTATACATTTTCAGATGTTAAAAATATTGAGGTACAAATCTGAATTTAGCTTAGTTTTAAATATTATTTTATATCTAATACATTTCTAAATGTAGGCAGGTGCACTTATACAGACTGATTTATTCAATTAAACATCATCATGTGCCAATTTTCTTAAAAATAAATGCCACTGGTTCAGCTTGGTTAATTTCTGTTACTGTATCAGAAATAGATCACTTTATTTTTCAAGCATAAAACCAAACCAAACTGAACTTTTCGATTCAGTCCAGTTCAGTTGGTTTTATGCCTATCCCATTTGACTACCCCTGAAGTTTGGCTCAAATACAAGCCTAATGGTTTTGGAATTCATTATAAACCTTTCCTTAAATATAAGCTAATTCATAAATTTTCTTGAAACCATGAGTGATCTTCTATAAAGCTTCATCAAATTTTCGGAAACTTACCTTCCAGGAGAGATCTAAACCAGATTGGTTGGTTTGTAATTAGGGCACAGCAACAAGAGATGAATAGAATTTCTCATAGATGAAATGCTGCCTTTTATTCTAATGAGCACATATCTTCTTTGGTGTGACAGTGGTTTGAGCCACCAAGTTGAACCTCTAAAATAATCCTTATTTGAGGCTCTCTTTGAGTTCTATCCACCAAATGTAGTAATTAATTGCATCTGGACCACAAACAAAATCTTCCTGCATCAGGATCACTATGGAACCAATTTCATAATGAAGATGATGTGATTGGAGCCGTAAGAAATTAGCTAAACCAATGATGCTAATCAGTGACATAACCTTAGTAGGGACTCATAGAAATGGTTATATAAACTTCGATATTTTGGTGGTGTTGTGGTCTGATAAACTGCAACAAGTTGAATAATCTTGCTCTTCACTAGGATTTCTCTTTATCATCTTGTATTAATTTCAGTTGGCAATTTTGATGAACAGCTTTGTAAATTTGGTTTCATATCTCTTCTGGTATTTGTTAATGGGTTTTTTTTCTGTATTCAAATGTTTAAGAGTTCCATTTCTTTAATATGCCTTCTCATCCATTTACCAAATGCAACGTTTCTCAGGTGAATCTGTTGTGGCTCAATTGGCAAATTCGTTTAGTCCACTGTACTTCGTAGTCCGACAACTCAGGGAAGTAATGTCAACAGAACAGCCCTGTGATTTGGCATATGAATTTGGAGATGGACTCTTCGGTCTCCAACACTTCCCACAAGGCTTCCCGAAACCGGGTATGAAATTTTATATATAACATCCCATGCTGTAAAATTAATCGAGTCTTAATTCTTTCCTGCATACATATTTACCATTTTTTCTTAAAAGAATTGGCCATCATTGCCATGAGAAAGGTACAGTGCTTTAATCTTATTGGCTTAGTGAATACTCTGTTCCAGCCGGTTCCTTGTCAAGAACATTAGCCAGACAAATCATCAAAAATTTTCCCAGTTCTGTTTAATTTATATTTGATTCCTTCATCTTACGCATGTGAATCTAGGCAGTCTCAAAAATATTCCAAATTTTGAACTCAAGTAAACATTTGTTTTTGTAGGATCACAAAGATATTATAAAAACATTTCCGGGAAAAAAGTATATAGATGAAGGGTTGTTTAGATATTCTTGAAATTGATATCACTTACGCTAGAGAAGCCCGGAGGTCTCATTGTACCAATGTTAAATTTGGAGATTCGTGCTAGGATGTGTTTTGTCTCATATATAAATCGATGGGCAGTTCGTGATTACCATTATCATTAATAGTTGTTTTAGAGTTTCTTTTTGGCTGCAAAAAATGGATCAGTCTTGTCAATCATAAATCTTCTGTACTTCTGCAGCGAAACATCCGTATCCTTTCGACGATCAGGTTGTCGTATATATCCGTCATGTTGGTCCGGGAGTCTTAGTAGGTCAAGCATGGCAAGAAGGGATAGAACTACAACAAGTACCTCAAAAGTTATGCGGTGAAATATTAATGGTGAAAGATTATTCTGCAAATGGAGAAATTAACTGAACAAATGTTGTAATCTATTGTAATTTTTATTTATTTAACTTTTTACAATTTGCTAAGTTGTTCTTCAGGTATTTGTACAATCTGGCCTAAGTTGAGTATTGATAATTATTTTATGGAACTGCAAAACAAAGAAATAACGGAGTATAAAGATTTGTGGTATTGTTTTTGAAGAAGTTCAACAATAAGTACTGTGGATGAGGTTTTGAAAGAACAAAGTTCTTTCATCTTCATGAAAACCCATTGGGAAAAAAAAAAAAAAATCTTTTTTTTCGAATGTATTATATTCTATAAGACACATTTGATAACTATGTTTTAAAGCCTCCTAAATAAATCTATCACAGTAAAAACGTGATTGGATTTGTAAGAACAATAAAGATTAGTTCACAATCCAATCTTACAAACTTCTTTTTCACAATTCTGATATAACAATTCATAATTGATCAAATTGTAATTGGGTAAATAGAATTTATTGTGAAGTGTCATGTTAGGGTTGTGAAGCCTGTGAGATTTTGATGTAATTGTAGCAACTAAGTTGGGTTTGCTGGTAGCAAAACGTTCTAAATTGGGAAAATCTCATAATCTGCCCCTAAGGTTTTGTTTATATTCATCTTTATGAAAACCATGCCAGAAATCCTCACAAACTACCCTTCAACAGTAACAATGTTAAATCATTTTAACAGTTTAGGGAAATTGGGGTCATTTCATCAATGATATTTTCTTAAAAATAACCAAACTCAAGTAAATTTAACCTACCCTAATCAAATTAAATTAACCAGACACTAGTTAGTTTGAATCCTATTTGTAAACTTAATAATACTTTAATTAATGTAAAAGACACTAGTTGAGTTCACAGGGAAAAAACTTGTCCATCTTCAATAAAAGTGAGGAAGAAAGGTAACAAGTGAAAATGTGTATTTTGTGATGGTTTCTGACATGGTCACCATAAAATTANAAATCTCATAATCTACCCCTAAGGTTTTGTTTAACGCATCTTTATGAAAACTATGCCAGAAATCTTCACAAACTACCCTTCAACAGTAACAATGTTAAATCATTTTAACAGTTTAGGGAAATTGGGGTCATTTCATCAATGATATTTTCTTAAAAATAACCAAACTCAAGTAAATTTAACCTACCCTAATCAAATTAAATTAACCAGACACTAGTTAGTTTGAATCCTATTTGTAAACTTAATAATACTTTAATTAATGTAAAAGACACTAGTTGAGTTGAAAGGGAAAAAACTTGTCCATCTTGAATAAAAGTGAGGACGAAAGGTAGCAAGTGAAAATGTGTATCTTGTGATGGTTTCTGACATGGTCACCATAAAATTATCAAAACCTCAGGGGTAGATTTAAAATTTTCCCTTGATAAATATTTTTTTTTTTTTTTTTTTTTTAATAATGTTATACATACATTATTTTCATACAACATTATGTGATAAGATATGTTTCATACAACATTATGTGATAAGATATGATTAAGTACAAGTTTACTTTTAACTTTAAATTAGTCAATTATGTTTTATTTTTTATTTTTTAAGAGATGAAGTAGTTTTTGATTGGTGTAAGCAACTTAATAACTTACACATGTTGGTGTAGTGGATCATTCCTCTTCTCTTCATCATCATCTCCCTTACCTCTAACAGAACTTCCACTTTCTCTTATTTTTTTTCCCACCAAACAGACATCCTTATAAAATCTTCTTTTCCAATAACAAAACCCATTTCTTGATTCTCAATATCTTCATCAAAATCTTTGATTAAAAAAAAGTTTAAATCCAAATGCTTCTCCAAACTCAATCTTTGACACCCCATTTTCTCCCTCCTTTAATTCCCTTCAAATCCATCACCAAACCCCAATTCATTCATTTCAACCAAACCCCACCTCGCAAATTCTCTCTCAAATGCTCGCTCTCCGTGGTTTCCGACCCGACGACAGCAAGCACCCCAGTGGGTGTTTCAAACGACAAGCCGTTTCCTGCTGAGGTGTCCAGGACCATCATGGAGTTGTCGTCCTCTGGCACTCTCTCAATGTTGACTTCTAACGGCTGGCCTTTGGGCGTTGGTGTGAGATTCGCCGTTGACGATGAAGGGACTCCGGTTTTATGCTTGAATCAATCTTGTAAAAAGCTCAGTGTTGATAAGAAGTCCAGTCTTCATGTTCAGGTATGCTAGTTGGGATTCGATATAGTGCAATAGTAGTAACATTACCGGTATAATTTCTAATTGCAATCAACAAAAATAATTATGTTGAGTATAAATGTTTCAGGGCCCGATTGGTACAGCTACTTGGAGTAGAGTTTATAGAAGATGATTTTATCAGAGTAGAGTTTCGTGAATAATTTGTTAATTGTTTAAATAAGAAAATGTAATAGAGCTTTCCAGTATTAATTTACTGAAAAGGGCTTTCATATACAAAAATAAATAAGTCAAAATTATAAAATTGAATGGGGATATTTTTAAAATTTTAATTGTTTAAATAAGCTCAGGAAAAACTATAAGGGCTTCTTCTACAAACAGTAAAATAGTTTTACCTAAAATTCTATAAGCGCTTTTGAAATACAATCAAAGAACCTAAAAAATTTCAAAAGTGCTTAACCAAACAAGCTCTGTAATTGTAATGTACAAATATTAAATGGGTGTGATAGTACTTAGTCCAGCAACACTACTGGGCTACATTTTGATTAAATGACTATTTTTTGGTTTTTGGCATCTTTGAATAAAAGTTAATTACACTTTAAAAGAAGAAGTAATTCGGGTATTGTTAACAAGATTTAATTACCTGTAATGTAAAGCATTGAGTTTATGACATTGAAGCTCAAACTTTCAGACAAAGTTTGTTGTAATATAAAAGATGGACTTTTAGTAAAGAGAGCAGAATTTTTAATATGTTGTTAGTGGTGTGCGAGGTAATGTTGTGGTAAGCTTTTGGTGTGTAGATATATGTTTGGAGTGTTATTGAACAATGTGTGTGGTTTTGGTTGAATCAGTTGGAGCAGTGTGGATTGAGGACTCCTCAGTGCACAATTCAAGGAAGCCTTGACAAGCCGGAAGACTTAAACATTTTAAAGGTGTTTTCTTTTCTATGATGTTATCAGATTTTGAGATTCTATTATCGGTTATGGATATTTTATTTATTTGCACTTATGCTGAAAAACTTGTGAAGTTATTTTGCTTGATTATGTGAAAAGTTTTAAAACTCATGAAAGCTATGGCCATGAGCCTTTAGGATAAATTAAGAATTTTACACATCATGCTGCCACCATAAGTCGTCAGTTATTGTTTAGTGCCAAGGGATGTTTCTCTGCTTTTCCTTTCCGTATTTTTCAAACTGAGTTTACTCTTTAGAACTTCCTTCTTTGTCATCCTTAACAGTATGGTGGCTTATGGGGGAAGTTGTCCCTGTAGTACATGACTAGAATAGGTTATTTCTTTGGGCTTGTAGACATGATCTTGGCCAAAGCTCATTTGGTTGCTAATGAAGCCTCATTTGGATTAAGAAAGTGGAGAGTTGCTTTGTGGTTGATCTTAAAATGAAATTTGAAGGGAAAAAAAAAAGCACATAAAGTAAGCGCTGTACACCATACTGAACACATAGGATTTGAATTTCTCTGGACATATGAATGTATGAACGTATACAAATATCTATATTGATTATACAATTACTTAGAAATTGTAAAAGATTTCATGAGGAGAAATCTATGTGAAACTTAACATCCTTAGGATAAAAGTAGACATTCCTTACGTTGAGTTGTTTAGTGTAGAAGGAGATATAGTTGCTTAGTGTTAATAAATTCTCCTCATTGATTTTTTCAAACTTTTCATGCTAGAACTTCAGTGATAGTTATACTCATTTGATGTGAATCCACCTTCAAGGCAACCCATTAACCTCCATATAGACCAAGCAAAGTTAATGAGAGAAGCCATTCATGGTCTTAGAAGTAATTTGGTCCTAGTTGAAGTAACAGTGCAAGAATATTTCAAGCCCATACTCAATTCAGCCCAAGGAATGAAGCAAGATGAGCTCAAGATAAGCTCATTTTGTCCAAGCCCTTCAATTGCTGATCCAATAGGCCCAATCCAATTATTTGGGTGTAGTTTGAATAGTAATAATATGAAACAAGCCACCAATCTTCTTATGGATCAAGAGAAAACCAAAGGAAAGACTATCCAAGTGCTTGGGGGTAATTTGGCCCAAGATAGAGGCCAGGAACAAAGCACTTGTGAGGTCTCGGCCCAAGGAGGTAAGCCTATCCAAGATGGAATTATGTAGCCCAAACCAAGCCCAATCTGCCTCACTCTCTTGGAATGAAAACTTGAGTCCAAGCCCAACCTTTGGATGTCATATACTTTTGTGGGAGTCAAACATTCCTTTAGGGAGGGAAAATTAAAATGGGAGGCAATTCTAGCACATGGGTGCAATTTCCTAAGGAGACAAAGTTATGACAAAGGTGGCTCAAGGTTTCCTTTTTCGGCAAAGACAACCTTTATCTCTCATGAACTTTGCTTGGTCCTTATGGAGGTTAATGGGTTGCCTTGAAGGTGGATTCACATCATATTTAGTAGCACACTAGTGATAAAATACTGTTGTTTTAAGCGTTTTTGAAGGATCAATCTGAAGCTAATGTTTATTATTGGATGATGGTAAAATAATTTTACTTAAATATTTATTTTCAAGTCATAATAGTAAGGAGAAACAATCATTCTCCTAATAGTGTGGTATATACAACTTTGCTTTTATCATGATTGAGTTGTCCTAGCTAACAATATATATATGAAGAATATCTCATGTTTGTAGTGACACAAGCTAATTCAAATAGATTGTGCTTTTCTTATTGCTTCTAAAACAATGACTTGCTTCAAAATCTTTCTGTTGTATAATGTAATTGGTATATTCTGCTTTCACTGCCCCATTTTGCTTTCAACTTGGGGCAAAAGTATTTTCTGTTGGTTGTTATTATATGCCATCTCCCTCAGAATCACTCCACATGATGGACATTTTTTATGGTTTCAGAAAATAATAGAATGTTCTTTCATGTAGTGATTTACTAGCCATACTCTGGCTCATTTTGTTGAAAATGGTGAAATTTTAACATTATGATCTGGAGAGTGGAGTTTATGTTGAAGGAAACTTCTTGTTTTACTTTTTGTTCTCTTTTGTGTCATGGTCATGAAGAACTTGGATCATCTGTTTAGGCATTCCTAAAATTGGGAGAGTAATTTGTTGCATTTGGGCCCTTGGGGTATCCACGAATAGCTCATATACATCACATAATCAAGTAGGTTTTGATATATCCTTTGTGTTCATATTGTGAATAAGCAATGGAATGCCAGTTTCTTTTTCCTGCAATATCACCACTTAGTTAAACATTTTCATTTGAGTATTCCATTCTCTTTACAGCGGCTTCATTCAATGTGGAAAAAGCGATTTGGAGAAGAAGTTGATAAAAACCTTATACATGTCATCACTGTGGAAAGGGTACTTCAGATGGAAGACTTCGAGGAGGTATTATAGACATTTACCTGGTTTATGTTCTTTTTTTTCAATTTTTCTGTAATATACATTTTCCTTTATTGCCTACTGATATATTTCATTTTGGAGCATGTTAAATGATTTAATTCAAGAGTAACTCTGATGTTTGGAACTATTCCAGGATGGCATTTGGGTCTCTTCTTCAGATTATACAAATGCAAGCCCAGATCCACTTAGAGATTTTGCAGAAAAGATTGTCAATGAGATCAATGCCAATAATAAGGAAGATTTGTATCGCTTTTGCAATGTATATGTTGATCTGGACTTTCAGGTTTGCAGCTGACCCAACTTTTGTCTACTCTGATGTTTATCAGTTTTTTGTCTAATTGCTGGGGTCCAAAACTTTTAACTCCTGTGAAAATCATTATCTAGCTTACTGGAGACGAAACATAAGCCTTAATTTATTTTGAGTAGTAGAAAATCTATTAATTTTTAATCTGTTTGCACAAGATGGCGTACACGGTCTATCACTGTTAATACCGTCTTGTATTTAAAAGGTGAGGTCTCCGGCTTTGATATAGCTGAAGAAAACAACTGATAAAACTGTGGTACCGACTTGTGATTTAGGCTGTATTATATGTATTTGTCTATGTCTATGTCCAAGCGATCAGCGTGTCTATAATTGTTTATTATTATTATGATTGCATTCGCTTTCTTTCAGGTTTTATATATTTATTTTTCTGATATGCCCTTTTGAAACTTCCATATTTGATACAACTTACATCATGACCATATTTGATTCCAAGTTATTTTCATTTTTTGTCATAGATTTTGCCAGGTTAGTTTTACTATTCTCATCAAATGCCAATTGGCTTGTCAGGTGTCAGAGGCGAAGATGATATGGGTTGATCGGTTAGGCTTCGACATGCGTCTCTACTCGATTCAAAACAATGTATTTGATGTCCGCATTCCTTTCCCCCGCGAAGTGACTGATGAGAAGGGCGCGAAGTCCTCATTTAATTGCATGTCGCAACAAGCTTGGGAGGTGGAAAAGAATTATCAAGCCCCGGACTATAAGAAAGTGAAACAAATGAAGCAAATTACGTAAGATATTGTGATGAACCCTTTTTTTTTTTTTTTTTGGTAACACTGCAATGGTGCTTGAGGCGTATGAAATTTATTTCCTGGCCGAGTTCTTATCACTAAGTTTTGCTACTTTACCAAATTCATAGCATGCATAATTCTTTACAGCTATGGTAATATTTTTGCCAATTTTCAATCATTGTTTTAAAAACCGGACCGCTCGTTGACCCAATCAAGAGGCTGGTTCTCGGGTTGACTGATATATAACAGACATATCTCTAAACAATTCCATTAGTCCTTATAAGTTTAAAAACCTGTAAATAAATCCCTAAAACTTACCATAAGTCCTTGTAAGTTTGAAATAAAGCAAATGCATCTTATGACTTTTATTATTAATTATTTTTTTCTCTCTCCTTATCACTTTCTTCTTTCTCATTTTTTCTCTCTCCCTCACTTTCTTCTTTCTTCTACCACTTTTGCCTCTCTCTATTGTATTTTTTTTCTCTCCTCTTCTCTTTCTTCTTCCTTCCTCTTTCTCTTCATTTCCTCTTTTCTTTCTTCTAATCTTCTTTCTTCCTCTATTCGTCTTCCTTACTCTTTCTCTTGGTCTCCTCTTCTCTTTCTTCTTCCTTCCCCTCCCCCTTACTTCACTTGATGGCCAAGAAGGCTTTGGTCGTTGCAATCTGGCCAAACAAGGTCCAAATCGGATCGGCCACTTCTTCCTTTCCTTCCCCTCTCCTCCCCTTACTTTTTCTTCTTTACACTGTAAATTTTAGAGTAAGTGAAGAAGAATAAAAAATGAAAATGGAAGATGCACTTTGGAGAAAAAAATTGTATTGAAATGAAATGGAGAATGCTTGTTGGCTCAATGAAATGGAGAATGAAACGGTGCTACAAATCTAGTTTAGGAATTAAGAATAAAATTTTTTTAGGGATCAGATTAACCCCAAAATAGTGAACTGTTTTAAACCCCGGACCAGTCGGATCGGTAGTTTTGTACTGGTTCATTACCAGTCCAAAGCGGGTTTTATGTCACTCCTAATTTTTATGTTAACTCAGACCGAAGTCAAGGCAGGCTCCCGGTCTAATCGGCCGGTGCGGTCCAGCCTGGATTTTAAAACAGTATTTTCAATACAACAATTGGATTATCAAGCCCCGGATTATAAGAAAGTGAAACAATTGGATCATATGAATAATGTTTTTGACTTTGTTAAAATTTGTATTCATGATTTTTAGAACTAATAGAGAGTTTGCTGACGAATTTGCCCCACACTTTCAACGCACCGCCAACATGTGCGGAATCTGGTTGGAGATCTATCAATCTAGGCAGATCCCGATGGCCAAAAATTGGCATTGCGACATCACATACGATTGTCTTTATCACGGCAGTATAATGTCACGATGTTGGTTTTCGCCTTTTCGGTAGTCAGTATCTGTCCAAATTGGAAGATTGTCAACCTTTTATCACTCATACATCGATAGTAATGCCAGCTGTGTGACAGATATTCGCCATGAGACGAATTTGACCAATTTGAAGATTTTTGAATCTTCGAAAATTCTTAAATTTTAAAATATTTAATCATTAATTTGAATTATAAAATAATATAAATTTAAATAAATTGATTTAGAGGTAAATGATGAATCACAATTTGAAGAAGGGTAAATTAGGCATTCTATATTTATAAATACACATGGCATGCATTAAGGGGCTGTTTGGATCGGGTTGATATTATATAACGGGGGTAATATATTTTAAATTAGATAGATAACCATGTTTGATTGTTTTGTAAAAAAACATTTCCGGAAAAAAAATGTCAAACAGTGCCAAATTGGGGGTAAATCACCGGGAATAATATTACCTATGGGGAGGGTAGTATTAAAATATTACTTCTGTAATCCAAATTTCTGTCCAATTTTACCCCAAAACAGTGGACAATGTGGAAGAAAATATCCTTGGCTTTGTTAATAATTACAAAACACCCAATTTGTAAAATAACAAAAACATTTCTTTGGCCGTCGCTAATGGCCATATCTGGGCTTTTCCGGAAAGGCCAGATCGGTGAATAAACGGCCATTTTCGGTCGTTTTTAGGACGTTATGACAGATTCCGGCCACCACTGACAATGGTTGCCAGAATCTGGCAACTATGGGTAGGTGGGGTTGTTTTTGTTAATTTTTAAACTTTTTTTTCTAGGGGTGTTTAATTAAGTTAATAAACTTAAGGGGTCTAAAAATAATTAAAAAAATAGAATAGTATTTCCCAAATAATTGAACAAACAAGTATTTTGGGAATATGATAAAGAATAGGTTTGAAATAATAAAACAAACAAGCCCTTAATTATTTATATCTAGTAATCATCTAAAGCGCATTCTAGTAAAAAGGTATTTCAGGACATCTGTTATTACTATCAACCAAACACATTAATTATTAATACATCCCAATTGAACCAAGCACAATAATAATTTAAACCCGGTAATCTACATTGTAATTTTTCTTTCCGGTAATCTTATACTAAGATAAAAAAACATTATATGATCCAAACATCCCCTAAGAGATATATAAACGGATATATGATCTTAATCATACAATAGGTTAACAATGTTTAGGAGAAGAAAGTTGGTAACATTTGTTGTGATTGGTGGCTACCTCTTCAATGGTTGATTATGATCAGGATTGCTTTGGCGATTGCTTTGCTGTCTGTATAGACACAAGATCTCCAACTTGCTTATCCATTCATTATTGGTAGAGCGGATCCAGAAATTTTTGTTAGGTTGGGCCAAATGAAAACTAAATGTATATAACATTTATATTTCGTTTTTCTAGTCAAAATTGTCACAAAAAGAAAAAAAAAATACATTTACTATTGTCCTCAGTGGGCCTTTATATTGAGGAATCATTGCATGATCATCTCCTTATCAACACTGTCAAATATATCGTTCTCAACATATGGAATTAGGCTATCATTCAAGAATTGATCTCCCATCCGATTGCGTAAATGAGTCTTCACAATTTTCATAGCAGAAAATGCCCTTTCTACACTTGTAGTTGCAACTAGTAAGGTTAAAGCCAATGTGATGAGCAAATATACCAATGAGTAAATAAGATGTTTCTTCTTTTCAACCATTTTTTGAGCAATACTGGTAATATCATTTAGTTATGAAAAATCACTATCCGAGCGCATATCATCAATGTAATCAAGTTCAAGTTCAATTGTCATAAGATCAGTAGAAGAAAATTCAAGTGGATAAAATTGAGCAAATCGAACTAATTTTCCCTTATCAAATGCTTGAAAGCAATCACTTGGATTTAGGGAGGTCATGCAAATAAGTAATTTTGTATTACCTTCATTAAAATGACTTTTAAGCTCTGATAGTTGCAAATCTATTATGGCATAGAACAACTCGACACAATAATTAAATAAAATTGTCATCTCTTGAACATTACGCCGCAATCTCCCTTGTGCAACAAATTTCTCTTCTATATTTGGCACATTTATATTATGAGCAATGCAAAAATGAGAAACTTCATCAAGTAGATTATCTCATCCATTATTTCTTATCAACAATAATCTTCTTTTCGACAAGTGAACCAAAAAGACCTAGCATTTATAATATCTTGATCCTTTCTTCGCAGTGCTTGTGAAAGTTCAAATGTGATTCCCAAAATGTTTTTTATCATGTGCAAGTTAAAAGCAAAATAAAAAGAAGTCATATAATCCACCAAATCACTTGCTTCAACTCTATTATCAGAATTCTCAGTAAGATCCTCAAGCACTTCAATAATAGATGAAAACAAATTAATCAAGCTCAATAAAGTCCCATAATGTGAATGTCACCGTGTTTCCCTTGGCTGCCTAAGACTAGTATCTTGATTAAGGCCTTACCCTATTGAAAGCTCACCACTTTCAATAGCTTTTTTCACCTTCAAAGCTTGTTTCTCATTAAGAAGATCCTGACGTCTACGTGACCATCCAACAATATTTATCATAAAAGAAACTTTCAAAAAAAGTCTCTCAATATTTGTGTCCTTTTTTGCCACAGCTACAAGTGCTAGTTGAAGTTGGTGAGCAAAACAATGAACATAGAAGGCATATTCATTATCTTTCAATATAAGTGCTTTTAACCCATTAAACTAACCTCACATATTACTCGCACCATCATAACCTTGTCCACGTAATCTTGATATGCCAAAATTGTATTTGGAGAACAATGTTTTGATTCCCATCTTTAGTGACAAAGCAGTCATATCTGTGACACACATAATACTCGATAGACACTCAACAACATATCCTCTTTTATTTACATAACGTAAGATAATTACCATCTACTCTTTGTTGTATCCATCACGAGCTTCATCAACTAATATAGAAAAAAAAGCATCTCCAAGATCACTAATTAGTTTGTTGATGGTTCAACTACAAATGCATTGATTATGTCTTTTTGGATACTAGGAGCAAGCAATTTCTCATGTCCAGGAGCATTCTCCAATGCTACTAATCTATATTCTTCATTTTGCTCAGCTGTATAGTATAAAAGTTCAAGAAAGTTTCCTTGATTCGTTGAATTATCAGACTCATCATGGCCACGAAAAGGCAATCCCTGTCGAAGAAGAAGCCGACTAGCAGAAATTGATCCTTTCGACCGAATACGATAATCTCCTCACTGTTGGTCATATTTCTTATTAATAATTGTACTCACATGCTGTTTTTGGTTCATCAAAGCTTGCTAATTTTTCAAAGCTTGGTTATGATAGCTGTTAAGACCTCCAATATGATATTTACAATTTTCAAGTCTCTTTCAATTGCGAAGCCCATCAAGAACAAAAGAATCATCTCCGCTTTGCTCACCTTTATCTGGTTTGAAAAGATAACAACGTGAACAATGTGCAACATCTTTCTCAACACTATATTCCAACCAGTAGAATATTTATCAAACCAAGAACGTTGGAAACTCCGTTCATGATCACTAGATTTTGATTTGGGAAACTTATGGTTGCGAGGTTGACAAAGACCCTTTTGTAGATAACGCATTCTGACTTGGTCTCGAACATTAGGATGATAAAACGTAATTCTTGGTCGAAATCCATGATCAAAAGGAAGATTTTCCAAGTCAACTTTGAAGCAATTTTTCTTTGAAGAAGGTTGGTTTTCATTATCATTGACACCAGAACAAAGTTGAGATGTTTCAATAATTGACTTTCTTTTAAAATATTTTTCCATATCTAAATACAAAGAAATAAAATTATATAAATACAAATAAGTAAATTAACTCACGAATTGAATTCTACAATAACTATGGAAATTCTAAATTTTCCAATCATTCTTTATCTTTTCCACAGTATTCATCTAAATAATTATTGGTCTTAAATAATCAATCACAATTATGTCACTTCTTAATGATTTTTCAGCAGGGAAAATGAAATTGAGTAGGATTTATATATATAAAAGTTAATGGAGCAATTAAGAAAGAAGTATTATAATCTGAAATATAATATTAGAGTATTAGACTATTAGTGTTGTTACCAATCTTTATCTGCCATTTCAGGCTTCAGTAAATAAAAAAATTCATGGTCAATCAAATAAACCTACACATTGTTATCCTCTCTATTTGTTTTCAATCATCAACTTAAAGTCTTAAAGACTTAAACAATATATAAAAATAAAAGCCTCCTTAATTCTATCTATATTTCTATTTCTATTATCTATATATTATTTTTCTTCTAAATTTTGGGACCACAAAACAATCATTTACCTATCACAAAATATTGGAATCTAAAAACTTCCCCTTTTTTCAAAATCTGAAGCAGATCCTCAAAGTCACAGCAAACAACTTTATTAATAATGGAAAAATGTTATTTGTTAATGCTTAAAATGGATGACTATTATTTAAGTACTAATAAGAATCCAAATACTAACAATATTTTGCACTTGGATTTTGTTTTTATTACTTTCAAATAAAAAGTATGAACACATTCTTCACAGTGAAGTTACAACTACATCTTCATAAGTTGAAGTCATTATCAGTACTAAAAAATGAATCTTGGTGTTGCTGCAACTGCTGGTGTTGAAGAAGGGCATTGTAAACTGCAATTTCACCATTTATCTTTATTATCTCATTTTGGACTTCAATTATTTGTTGTTGATATTGATATATTATTCCAACACTTCCATAAACTGGATTTTCAACTCTTAAATATGCTTCCATTGCCATGCAATCTGCTGCCTCCCCTCTTAATTCCACTGGAAGTTGCTGCTCAATTTTTAAATCAAATCAAAGCATCGAATTAGCAAAACTATATTTTATCAAACAAACCTACATAGATATAACTTAAAAGTAATGTTACCTGTAGCATTTTTGTAATTTTGCTGGCACCAAAGATCTTATGAACCCACGAAAATCTCTGAGGATTATTTGAAGGAAAATATGGTGCTAAAACGCAATCTTGAGGGCATTTTCTTCTCAAAGATTTGCATGCTGCACATCTACTAGAATTCGACATTTTAGATTCTTTGATATGTTTTTCCCAATAATTCTCTCTAAATCTTTCACCACAATTATTCAAATATCTTTGAATGTTATCTTCTCAAACATTTGATTCATGATATATATAAGGGATTTATTCTTGACTTGATTATAATTGATCTAATATTGGAAACAGAGCAACGGCTAGTGTTTTTTTTTTATTTTTGAAGGAAAATTTTTGAAGACATGAAGGAATTATAAGATTTCCTCATAGCAGTTAGAAGATTTTCAAATTACACATCTGTGTCTTATGAAAGTAGATCTTATAAAATGAGAGCTTTCAAAACATTGTTGATTATTTAGTTAAAAAAATATATATATATATAAAGAACTTGTATAGTCTGAAATTATTAAAAATTTAATAAAAAAATGATCATGTTAAAATTTTAAAATAGTATATGTTAATGCAAAAATATACTAACTACAGCGATCTGATTAACCTTGACGGGATCAAAACTGATGTGTGTTTGATTACGGGTAACCAGCAATGTTTAAGCAGAAAAATGCAGTAAAGTAAATGGCATAATGAGTTTTTGAAGTGGTTCGGCGAGTTACACTTTTGAGCATACATCCATTGTTTTATATTTGCTGTGAGAGCTTACAATGATAATCCTAGAACAATTTTCTAACCCCTTTCTCATCATTGGAGGGGGTTTATATACAGATTTTGCACAAAAGAAAGAGCGAAAATAAAGGGATTACAATCAAGATAGAAATGCAACTCCGATATTCTTGCGATTGAGCGTTGAAATTACGCCAAGATTGCTGTCAATCTGATTCCTTTTGAGATATCCAGGATCTGGAGTTATTTGCAAATTGGTTGAATAATTGTATGGATTGGTCGCGATTAGCTTGTGCTAGGTCAAGCCAAAACTCGATGAGCTTATGTTGGGTCGAACAATCAATTGAATCGAACAGATTCTGGATCAAGCTATAACCTCGCAATTTTCCGAGCTTGATGGAAAAATCACACACAGCAATATATGAGAATAATTTTGACATTTCAAAACTTAAAATAAACTTCAAAAGAGCTTATGGGATAATTAAGCTCAACAAACTTGAAACAGATTAATTAATCACCCATTAACTCTTTTTTATTTCCAACCAAACAATGCAAAATCTTTTTCACAAATGCTCTTTTATCTAATAGATAAATATTTTTATCCAACCAAGCAAACAATTAATGTTTTGGGTATAAAAATTACTAGATCTTAACAACTAAAAGGGCAACTTGTTAATCCTCATGTTCTTCAAGAATATTACAAATAAAGTAAAATTAGAAGCTAGAATCAAGATGTATGTTTCTTTTTACAAAATCATGGATTAGATTAGGGTCTCTTCTATATATATCTTGCATGTTTTTGTTCTCTTTAAAGTTCTAAAGCTGCTCAATTTATGGGGTTTTGATTTATAGGAAAAATAAATGATCAAGCCATCAAGTAATACAGTAAATTGATAACCTTTAGGGGGCGTTTGGTTGAGGGGTACATGAGATTATTGGGGTTATGTCATCTTATATTACTTAATTACCACGTTTGGTTATCAAGCAATATATAATTCCGGTAATCTTTCAATATCAATAGTAGTTAATGTTGATAATATTGGAGGTAATTTGATAACCTCTATTTTCTTAGGTATTGTAAGATTACCAATTTAATCTTAATTTTGTTACGATTATATCCCTTATTAATAGAATTTTAGGACAAAAATACCCTTATTTTTAAATTAATTTACATGAATCTGCCCTTTACTATTTCACACCAATTAATTAACTTTTTGGACAAAATTACCCTTGAATACAAAACAAATTGCAACGCACCCAAGCCACCACCCCCACCCCCACCCACCTGCCGCCGCGTGCCGCCACCGCAAACCACCGTCGAAAGTCACTTGGAGTCGCCGTGAGTAGCCCACCGTCATCGGGAGGCTCCGATATGGCCGTTTTTGGCCATATTGATGGCCGAAAACACCCCAATCAGAGTAGATCTTGCTGGAAATGGTCAAAATAGTTCTGGCCATTTTCGACCAGATCTACTCCAATTGGGGTGTTCTTAGCCATCAATATGGCCAGAAACGGCCATATTGAAGCCTCCCGGTGACAGTGGGCTACTCACGGCGACTTTAGGTGACTTTCGGTGGTGGTTTGCAGTGGTGGGCAGTGGCTCAGGGTGGTGGGGGTGATTTTGTTATAAATTAAAGTTTATATAAGCAGGGGTGTTTTAGCTAAATTTGAAATGTTGGGGGTTAAAAAAAACTATTCAAAAATTAATAATAAAAATAATATTATATTAATATTTAAAAGAGGGCAATTTAGTAATTTAAATAACATACCCACCAAATTATTCCTCTTAACCAAACATATTAATATAACATACTCATTTATTCCAACTAACCAAACATATTTTCCTAAAGATTCCCAGTAATCTTCAGGGTAATATAAGATTCCAGTAATCCAACATTTCCTGAACCAAACGCACCCTTAACAACATTCACCCATAGATTTAGAGTTTTAGATATGGTCTAGCAAAATGACTAAAATATTCTTGATTGAGTTGACTTTTTTATAGTCCGTTTTAATGACTTGAGGGAATCCAAAAATTTTCGAAAATCCTAGGGTTGTCAAGATTAGACTATCTCTTTAGGGGTGTGTTTGGTTTAGAGAATGTTTTATTACTGAGAATGTTATATTAATGGAAAGATAGACAACTAGAAATGTTTAGGAAAACGTGTTTTGTTGGTTGGAATAAATTGGTGGGTATGTTATATTAATATGTTTGGTTGGGAGGATAAATGAGTGGGTATATTATATAGATTATTAAATTGCCCTCCTTTTTAAATATTAATATAATATTATTTACATTATTATTTTTTGAATCGTTTTTTTTACCCTTTATATTTTAAATTTTGCTAAAAACCCTAGCCATATAAAACTTTAATTTGTAGCAAAATTACCTCCACCCACCCCAAGCCACTGCCGAAAGCCAACCACCACCGCCAACCGTTGCTATAATGGCGCACGACCAGCAGGATCCGACTGGTCATGCACCGGTAAGGTCATTTTTGGCTATACTGGCGCAATGAGAATTACATTTGCAATGTTTGGAAAGTTAGATTGGGGTTAACTGAGAGGGAAATTGGATAATTATGCATGCAAGAAGAAATTAAAAAAAATGGAGGAACTACTGAACAAGGACATTTATAAGGCAAATGCTTAGGACCTCAAGGAAAAGATGATGAATAGCATCAAAGAAGGTGGAGGTCCTACAATAATTTAAGCATTTTGTTGAATGGCTGAAGGCATAAGAAAAAACCCTAAAATTTTTTGAACTTCAATAAGATTGTAACTGTGAGTTACTTCCTTTCTTTCATTCTGATGTTTTGGGTCTTTGCCACAAAACTCTTTACATAAGGAAAAGAATTTGTTCACACATTGTTCAAATCTCATAAGAGGTGAATGATTTACATTTGGGAAAAAAAAAAAAAAAAAAAAAAAAGGAGAAAAGGCTAATCAAAAGACTGTAATAAGAAGACAATATGTATTTTTGGAAATTTGACAAAAAATTTAAGAGTTTTGTTCAATGAATTAAGGCGTATGCAAAATCTTCAGGTAACTTTCAAACTTGAATCAACTTCTGCATCTGTGTTTACCAACAAAAAGATTTCATCTATTAAGGAGCAAAAAATTAAGTAAAATATAATTAATTACCTGACTTTTTAGAATTCTAACTATAATACTGGGTTGCATGCATCATCATTAGAAAAACTTGATGAACCTCTCTACATATTTTATACAGATAGTTAAACAAATATTATAATGTCCATGTGGCTAGGTTTGAAAGCTGCAAAACATATATTCAGAAGGTGAATTATTGTATATATCGAGACAAAAAATTAATTTAGAATCTGAGGAGCTTTCGAGTTGTTGAAATGTGGCTTTCACTGCATATAGATTGAGTAGTAAAAGCATTTTAATATGTATTTCATATAATAAATGTAACTTTCATAATGTTATGCCTAAAATAAGGGTTGACCCATACTGACATCATCGAGCATTAACCAAAGTTCAAGAAAGCTTTCCACCGTCCAAAGCATGCCACGTCTCCAAAGGCAAAAGGAATGCAGTTGTCAACAACCCAGCTGACTCAAGAATTTGTCAATGAATGAATTTGGTTCACACACCTATCCAAGCCCCATTTAATTTAAGGATATTTTGTGAGTTCTCAACGAATGGGAAGGCAGGAGAGATCTGCATGACATTAGGCTACTTGCAAAAGTGTAATCATTACCTTGAGCACAATGGGTATAAATAGGCAGCTCCCCCTCACAAAAAGGGGATTAGACACTCTTGAATTCAACAAAGGAAATAGTAAAGACACACTACTAGAAAGAGACTGGCTTGACATTCTCTAAGAACACTTAGTAAACCAAGCACTTGTAACACCAGATCGCAGTTCGCGACCTCTTGTAATCCTGTCTAACAACTAGGAACAAACTCATATAAAAGAACACAGTGGATGTAGGATTCGCTTCAAGCATCTGAACTACTATAAAAATCTTACTGTCTCCTTTATTTTTTTACGTCTTTGCATGCTACTATGCAAACAGTACTTTACCTATTTAATATAATATGCTCACGTGTGACTTCTTAGCATTTTACACGTGCGAAGTCGTTGGTGTCAGAATCACGCATCAATAGTTTGACACTAGAGGAAGGGAAAGATTCACATCAGCTCTTTATCTAGTAATCTCAACTGACTTGTCAGTTCCTTTTTCGAAGATTAACAAAAAAATTTCATGGCTCGTGGCTTCGAAATCGAGCGTACTAATACCAACAACAACGAGGAAATTCCCCACAACCAGGAAACTACTCCTCCCGAAGGAGCTCCAACTCCCCAAAACATTACAGGGACATGCCCTTGACCTCGCAAGCGGATCTTGCCTTAATCCTTTACCTGGAGAAAATTGACAACACTTTCC